TCAGTCAGTTCTGACTCAGCCATTCCAAGGAGTGGCTGGGGGGTTTGAACCGGTGACCTGGTAGTTAGCAGTTCAGTGCTTATTGTACATCGCCACACTAGGCTGAGCTTGAAAAGGCTTAGGGTGGGGAAAGTTTGTCCTGTCATGGTTATTCATAGGCAGGGATTTCCTGGAAATGGCCCATTTAGCTGGTACCTTGTTGGGTTCATCTGGTGATATTTTGTGTGTGTGCTGAAAGCTAGTTCAGGGGGAGGCTAATAGGTAGCTGATGGCTAACAACCCTCACTAGGCACTGAACAGGGAGGGAGGACTCAAACCCCACTGAGTTCCAGATGCACAAGGAGATGGTTTATTTGTTTTTTTATCTTATTTATATCCTGTCTGCCCAACAAGGAGATAAATTTTTTGTCTTGTCCACATTCTGCCCCTGTTCTTTGTATTTGGAGGGTTTTTTGTTTTGTTTTGTTTTGTTTTGTTTTTTAAAGGTTCTATTGATCTTTCCTGTTGCCGCCAGTAATTTTCCACATGTCCCCTTCCCCTAACTTTGGCCATGTTATCAGAAGGGGCCAGTCCCTAGAAAATGACATCACACTAGGTAAACTGGAGGGTCAATGAAGAAGAGGATGACCCCCAAGGAGACCGGTTGATGGTGGTAGCAGCGGTGGGCTCAGGCGTACTAATTGTGAGGATGACGCCAGGCAGTGTTTCCTTCTGTATGCAGGTCACCATGACTGGAAGGCACTGCGGCTTAATGCGGTGGCCAGCAAGGTCGCTTTGAACTCCAGGGTTGGTGGTTCAAGCTCACCAGCTGCTCCTTGAAAACCCTATACAGGATCACTATGAGTTGGATGTGGCATGTATCAACAAAGACAACTTGGGGTAAACTTCACAGTAAACAGTTTGTAAAATGGGCAGCTTCTTGGGATTAATGCTTTCATCCTCCAAGAGGCCCACTAGGCTGTCTCAGGGACTTGGAGAGGTTAAGTAGCAGATGTTGGGGGTTGGGCCACATGAGGGCCTCAACTGGGCCCATCATAACTGCTCAGGGGCCTCTGGGTCTACAGTTCTTAGCCCGCATCCATTACTGAGAATCTACTCAATAAACACTGAGCACCTATCGTATATGTCCCAGGCACTGGGGGTGCAGTAGAGAACCAAAGAGCCCTCCTGTCCTTGAGACAAAGTCTTTGCTTCCCTAGTAACTCTTTCCAGGAGGCCCCCTGGGCACCCTGCCTGAGGTTCAATGTAATAATTAAGACCATGAACTCTGCCAAAAGAAATCCCCAACAACCGAGGTTCAAATCTGGGTCTACCACTTCCTAGCTGTGTGATTTGGGCAAGTTACTTGATCTCTCTGTGCCTCTGTTTCTTTGTCATAAGGACGAAGACTTAAGATAGTATTCCATGATTTTTCCTTTGATAGATCTAGACACCAAGTGGGGGTAAGATGAGCAGATTTACTGGGGGAGGAAGAAAGAGAGGGAGCTGGGAGACAGGGAGGCTGCAGGTCAGGGCCCCATAAAGGGCTACCTAGGATCTCGGGTCTTGGGCTGCAGTGCGTTTATGAGAAAGTTTCAGTCAGGTGGTAGACAGTCCTGGCAGGGAGGAGCTTTGAATCGCACAGGGGTGGTCTGCCTTGGCATCCCTGCTGGACAGTCATTGGCCGAGAGTTGCCCTGGAAGTGCTGGAAAAGATGAGGCTTTCTGCTCACGTCAAGATTTACAACTGAGCAAGTCTATAAAAAGTCATTATGAGTCAGAACTGATTTGATGGCCTGCAGCAGTATCAGTAACTGCCCCAACGGCCTATGGGAAACTTGACCTAGAGAGTGAGCAAGGTGGGTTCAGAGCATAGTAACTGGGGGCATCTATTAGTTATGAGTTATAGTCCCTGACACAGGAGCCCCAAGAGGATCGGTGGTGGTTATGTACCGTGGAGTCAGTTCTGACTTACAGTGACCCTGAGAGCATTTCCGAGGCTGTAAATCTTTACGGAAGCAGAAAGCCTCATCTTTCACCCACGAAACAGCTGGTAGATTCGAACTAGCTGGACCTTGAGGTTAGCAGCCCAACTCGTAACCACTAGGGGTGCCTAATACCCCATAGCTCCTGGTGTGGCGCTGTAGGATCAGCACTGGACTGAACCAAAAGGTTGGCAGTTCAGACCCACCTTGGAAACCCTACACAGGGTCACTATGAGTTGGAACTGACTCAGTGGCACTTAACAGCATCACCTACAATACCCCACAGCTGGAATCCTGCTTGCACTGAGTGGATATTGGGGATACCTTGTCCTCTGTTGCCTGGCTCAGCTCGCCAGCTCAGATTTCCCCTCTGGGCTGAGCCAGGAACAGAACAATTTCCGTTACTGATCCAGGCTTTTCTTGAAAGTTCGTGGGAGTGTGGGTGGTGCTAACTGCTAGTGTTGTGTCAGCTTTAACCATAGACTTGGTGGCAGCGGAGTCTGGCACAGAAGAACATATTGAAATTCAGGTTTCCTGGGCTAACCCCTGGGCAGAGGTTCAGAACACGTCTCTGAGGGCATGAGTCCTGTCCACTCTGAGCTTTGGGGGCTGGAGGGAAGAGGTCGGGGGCTGCTCTTGGACACCTCTGCCAAACACGGAGGTCAGGGCCTTCCTGGGAACTCAGTTCCAGATGGTCTTGGGAAGGCTATGACTGGATTGGGTTCATTCCCCATCTGGTGGGAGTGGACCTTCCTTTTGTGGCGGGCAGAGCTAAGGTGATGGCTTTGACCTCACTTTCCCCCTGCTTGTTGAGAGTGTCCTGGAAGAAGATGGCTGACAGGTGGGGTTGCATCCCATCTGGCTGGGAGTCTCTCAGAGGAGAGATCCCCTCTGAGGTCCCAGGACTGGGTACCACTTACTAGTTGGTGGCCACATCTGGGTGGTGGTGGCTGCCCTCAGCTGAAAGAACCTCCACACTTGGGGGTTAGAACCCCTCTCCTTCTACCATCTCACAGCCAATAGTAAATGGTGAGAGGGTGATGGGCCAGAATGGTTTACAATGGGACCCCATCCAGCTTCCCTCACTGCCTCCTTGCTGACCGCACTCTGGAAATCATCTGCACCCAGATTTTATTAAGTTGAGCATAAATAAGGATTGCTATGAGAGTCTCAACCAACTGGACAGAACCTAACAACAACAACAACAACACTTCTTTCCAAGTCACACCCTATCCCAGTCCTAACTCCTGGGAACCACTGCCCAGTCCTGTGCCTTCCTCACAATCATTCCTGTGTTTGAGACCATTGTTGCAGCCGCTGTGTTAATCAGGCCAGATTGCTGCACTGTGGTTAACTGATGTTCAGGCAAGGAGAAAAGGAGGTCCAGAAATCAGCATTAAACACAGCCACTTGTTGACTAAAGTCTTGTGACTAAAACCTTAAGGAATGTTGAAGCCTCCTTGCTTGAGCAGTTGTAAAGATGTGCCAGATATGCTCAGAGTGCAAGCTGAGCAGACACATCCTGGGGCATACCATTAAGGAAGACCACCTGTAAAAATTCCGTAGTTTACTCCCTTGTAAGGTGGGACATGCCTTTAAGGAGGACCAGCCATAAAAATTCCCTTCTAAAATGTTTTATAGGCAGACTGTTTTGCCTTGTGCCCTAGGCACAGTTTCAAAGGACAGCCTTCTGCTGTGGAGTCCTGGTGTATCACCGTAGGAGAAACGCTGCACTGCTAACCACCAGGCTGGGGGTTCAAACTCACCAGCCGCTCCTTGGAAACCCTATACTGTGTTGCTATGAGTTGGAACTAAGTCAACGGCACTTAACAACAACAACAAAAGCAGTTATTAGCTCAGTTTGGCACTTAACTACCGAGGAGCCTTTGCTATAGACTCTGTCCTAGAGAAATACTGCTATTGCATATGTATCCAGTTAGCATGTTGTGGTTAAGTGCCATCCAGTTGGTTCCTACTTACAGTGACCCTGTTTTAAGGTTTCTGAGGAGCAACTGGTGGATTTGAACCTCCGACTTTGTGGTTCAAACCAATTTTCAGTACAGTGCTTATCCTACACCAGAACTCCTGATTAGCATGGCCCCTCCTAAACTGGCCACTTCCCAGGGGAAATCTCCGCCTACCCCTATGAGTAAGTGTGATGCCTTTTCCCCACCTAAAAGCTATTAAGCCCCAGCAAAGCCTTTGTTGGTGGAGATAGTACTAGCTTTGCTTAAGGCCCTGCTTGTCTCCTCTGGCCAGATCTTTTCCTCTCAATAAGTCTTTAAATCTTTTGCATGTGTGAAACTCTTGTTTAACATGATCATTCTTGGTCAGCAAAGACTAGGACCCTCTGTTGAAGGGTTGGGGTCCCCTTTCTTGTTGTTGTTGTGAAGTGCCATCAAGTCGGTTCCCATCCATAGCAACCCTGTGTAGGGTTTCTGAGGAGCAGCTGGTGAGCTTAAACCACCGACCTTGCAGTCTGGTGCATTAACCCACAGCGCCACACCAGGACTCCTGCACACCTCTAAAAGGAATCCTGGTGTGTGGCTATGGGTTAATGTACTGGACTGCAAATTTCACAAAGTTGACAGTTCAAGCCTACTGTCAAGCTCCTTGGAAACCCTATACAGGGTTGCTCTGGGTTGGAAGTGACTCAACAGCACTTAACACCAACAGACCCTAGAACAGTGTGTTGCTGTGGAGTTGGAAGCTACGCCGCTGTTATTTGAAATACCAGCAGGGCACCCATGGTGGACAGGTTTTAGCAGAACTTCCAGAGCAAAATAGACCAGGACTAAGACAGACTTGGAAGACTAAGAAGTGTTCCAATTCTGAAAAAAAAGCAGCCATTGAAAACCTCATCACTGAATAAAGGAATAATAACATACGGGGATTTGGGAAGATGATGGTTAGTGGCGGTGCCCATAAGAAGCTGTATCTGTGTTAAAATACACAGAACTGTATACCAAAAGAATCGCTTGTACTGGAGGACAATTTAAACATTCACATATACCCATGTCTGTGTCTCAGCAAGCCCCTCAACTTTGACCAGAATGGAGCAACCGAAGGGTGTTGATTGGACAGTCGTCATCCTGACATGCCAGTACAAGGAGAGTGTTCAGGTCTTCCAGAGAGGTAAGTGACTTCCCCCGCACCCCCACTAACGTAGAACTCCTAGCCCTCACTCCCTGGCCCTATCATTGCAGCTTCAATATCTGGGCAGACTTGGATTCAAATCCAGACTCCACCTCCTCCTAGCTGTGTGACTTCAGACTTGTCCTGTCACTTCAGTGAGCCTCAGTTTTCTCATCTGAAAAATGGGAATAATGAAACTTCAGAGTTGGGCAAAGAATGAGTCACTAATGTGAAAAGTTAATAAATCCAAGAAAGTAACATAAGGACTATCAGTCTGCTTGCTCCAGGTGTTTCAGGCTGGGGTGGGAGGCTGGGCGAGGTTCCAGTGTGTCTTATGACCACAGAGCTGGAGGTGCGGCAGAAGCGGGAGCAGATCCCCGCCGGGACATTGGTACTGGCTGTGGAGGACCCTGAGACACGTGTGGGCAGTGGAGGAGCCACCCTCAATGCCCTGCTTGTGGCTGCCGAACACCTGAGTGCCCAGGCAGGCTTCACTGTAAGTTTGCATGAAGTGCCACTGTCCCTCCTGTGCTAGGATCTGGTTCCCCTTGGTGCAGGGAAGGGGTTAAAGCAGATAGTGTCCAAGCAGCCCACCTCCTCTGGTGCCATCACGTTGGCCAGCTCAGCATTTGGCTTCACTTTTCTCATCCGTCTTGGCACCTCGGTGAGGGCAGAAGGTGTGTATTTCTGTATGTTAGAGCCAGTGTCTCAAAGTCAGGCTTTCTGGCTTCTCATGAAAAGTTCAAAGATCTTGCTTCCCTGGGCTCTCTTTGCCCACATGGCAACAGTTTGTTGGAATGGAGGAGCAGCATCCCTTTGGGCAGGGTCTGGGGGCCTGTAAATCAGTGTCCCCCACACCCCAGCCACTTCACTCAGCCACTTTTCCTGTATGGCACCTTGGCATAGTATGAGAAGGTGGTCACAGGTGTGGATGTGCTCTGGGGATGAACAGCACTGGTATGGGAGGGAACCCCTGAATCACCCAGCCAGCTCTATGTTCCTGCCTACAGGAGGTACCAGTTTGCCCCCAGACTGCCTGTGGCCACTGGTCCTGACCTTTTGTTCTTGTGGTACCTGAATGCATTTGTGTTAGGGTCCTTCCCTGGGGACTTCTGCCCTTTGTGGGTAGGTCCTCTGTGCACAGGGCTCTCCCGCTCCTGACAGGTGATCACATCTGATGTCCTGCAATCAGCCCGGATCCTCATTTTGCACATGGTAAGTAGTCCCAGGCAGAGGCCAGACAGAAAGCTGGAACAGCAATTTTCAGGGCTGGATGGGATGGAATATCGATCTAAATGTCCCATAAATTGGGAACTGGTTAAGTATGCATAGATTTCCCATATCTTCCTGATGGGCTCTTGCACAGTGATTAAAAGATCGCTCTAACTCAGTGCATTGATCTAGAAAGAGATGTACCTGCTCTGTGACTTTGCCAAGCCACTTGACCCTTGCTGGGCCTCAGTTTCCTTGAAAAATCTGTAGAATGAGATGACAGTAGCTCCTACTTTATGTGGAGGTGCTGAGATGAGCCAAGAATGAGTCATGTAAGTACTTAAAACTTACTTGGCTCATTGTAATTCAGAGAGTGGATTTTCATTTTTAAATAAAAATATCAGCCACAGATAGTATATAGAATGTTATCATTTCTGTAATTAACCTTTTTATTGAGATAGTTATAGATATATCTGTAGATCCACATATACCCTGCTTTTGTTGTTCTGAATCATAGCAACCTTGTATAGGGTTTCCAAGAGTGGTTGATGGTTTTGAACTGCTGACCTTGCAGTTAGTAGTCCAGTGTGTATCATATAGCACCACACCAGGGTTCTACAGACACCTATAGATGAGTGTTTGTAAGAAAGAATACCAAGAGAATCCCTTTGTAAACTTGGCCCGGATTCCCCCAATGATAACATTTTACAATACTGACTTTGCTAAAATCCTCGCATCTTTGATCAGATTTTCTGTTTAATGATACTCATCTATGAGTGTGTATTTTGTTCTTTTATCTCCATTGTTTCAGAATGGTCTTATTTTTGTGGAAAAAAAAAAATCAAGAGACTATGAATAAAAAGTTTGATAGGGTATATACATTATTAACACGTTGTTGTTAAGTACCGTGGAGTCGGTTCCGACTCATAGTGACCCTGCACAGGGTTTCCGAGGCTGTAAATCTTTATGGGAGCAGAACACCTCATCTTTCTCCTACATAACCGCTGGTAGTTTCGAACTGCTAACCTTGAGGTTGGCAGCCTGACTTGTAACCACTGCGCTATCAGAGCGCCTTACATTAACGGGTAGGCAGTGGCTATTGACCCTGAGGGATTTCTTTTTTCATGTTTGCATAATTGTTGTTATTGTTAAGTGCCTTCGACTCGGTTCTGATGCCTGGTGACCCTGGAGCAACTGGTGGATTTGAACTGCAAACCTTGTGGTTAGCAGTCTAGTGCTTATCCTACAGTGTCACACCAAGACTACATGTCCAATTTTTTTTTTTTTAAATAATAACAATCATGTAATTTAAACAATTGTTAAGAACTCTTAAGAAAATACTTCAAAAAGTCTCTAGCTTGCTGCCTTTCTCCCACGGGCTCTCTTACCAGTGCTCACTCCCACCAGGGCCGAGACTTCCCCTTGGATGACTGCGGCCGGGCCTTTACCTGCCTCCCTGTGGAGAACCCCCAGTCCCCCGTGGAGGCTGTGGTCTGCAACCTGGACAACTTGCTAGACATCATGACCTACCGAGTGAGGCCTGGGCTTTTACACTGTACCCTCAGCTTTAGTCTGTGAGGCATAGACTGGGAGCCCCAGGGAGAATGTCTTTGGGGGCACCTAGGATTAGTTAGAGCTTTGAGAAGTTAGTCTTGGCTACATCTAAGGAAAGAAGGACCCTCAGGTAGGAAGGGGGAGGGCCAGCATAGGCACCTCAACCACAGGGGCCCCAGGACACATGGCTCCTGGAGTGGAAGAGCAGGCCTGAGCCTGGGCTGTGAGGGAACAGAGGAAGGACTGAACCAGGCCACCATTGGTGTCCCTTCTCTCTCTGCAGCTGGGCCCTGGCTCCCCACCAGGCGTGTGGGTCTGTAGCACTGACATGTTGCTGTCTGTTCCTCCAAACCCAGGTGAGCTGAGGGGAGCCTGGGAGAACCCTCCCTAGCCATAGCTCCAGGCTGGCTGGGCTGTTTATCTCCTTCCTCCTTCCTCTGGAGTCTCTGGGCCAGTCCCACAGGCCTATTCAGAAGACAAACTGTAGGGTGAGAAGAATGAACAATGCAGCCTGAAGCCAGATCAAGAGGCGGGGCTTCCCCTGCGAGCCTCAGTTGGCCTGTCTATAGAAAGGACATAATCATTCCAGCCTGGTTCTGTTCACAGGACTCTGGAAAAGTTTAGGAAGGGAAAGGGGTTGTTCTCTCAGAGGATGTGCACTTGGTTTTGGAAACCATATGGGAAGGTGTCAAAAAGTTTGTGGAAAAATGGAATTTTCCATGACCTTTTTTTTGAAGCCCTCTCAGATTTACCTGTTGGAGATGTCCAGATGCCCAAGCCCTGAATTCTTGTCTCCTGTGTGGGAACTCTCTGCCCTGGGCTGGGGCCCCTGGGGAACTTCCTGACAGGCCCACCCTACAGGGATCAGCTGGGACGGCTTCTGTGGAGCTAGAGTGATCGCCCTTGCGGGGAACGTGGCTTATGCTCGGAACCACGGCATCTACTTCAGTGACTCGCAGGTAGAGAGCCCTGGGAGGGCCTTCCCTTCCCTGGTCTGGGTCAGCTCTCCTCCTGGGACTGCACTTTGACCTTTTCCTTTGCAGCAGTCCTTGAGCTCCCTTGCTCTTTTGGCAAACACACAGGCTCAGAGGCTGTGCAGATGTTTAAAGCCAGTCTTCTCCCCTTGGTGACGGCAGGCTCATGAGACCCTGGGCCTTGTCAGACTTGTGTGCTGACCCCTATGGCTGGTCCACCGTCCAGGTCCTCTCTTGCTACCTTCCCTAACTTTTCTCCTCTGATGTAGGGCTGCGTTTTGGACATCTACTACCGGGGCACTGAGGCAGAGATTCAGCGCTGTACCAGGCCTGATGGGAAGGTGCCATTGGTACGGCTGTCAGGCCTAGACCTTTGGGGACCTTATGGAATTTAGAAGGGTGGCCTCACCATTCTGCGTAGGGCAGAGCCCCATTTTGTCAAGAAGTATTCTGGTGCCTACCGGGGCTTGGTGGGGGGAGGCCCCTTGGTGGGAGCTGCACCAAGTAAGCCTGGGGTCTGGGGTCTGGGGGCTCTGGAGCAGAAGGTCCCTGCTGTAGAAGGCCATTGGCCTTGCATGACCCATCTTCGGGTATCCGTCCCGACTCATGCCTAAGCCTGGTTTCAGGGTCTCCCCAGCTAATGTATGTAGGGGTCCCTCAGGTTTCTGGGATTACCTTCTTCTCTGTGGAGACTGCCGAGCGCCTCCTGGCCACCCACGTGAGCCCACCGCTGAACGCCTGTACTTATATGGGTCTGGACTCTGGGGCCCGGCCTGTTCAGGTAACTGACCCCAATACTGGCCGCCTGGCTCTGTGACCTCAGGCTAGCCCTTCCCTTCTCTGGGTCAGCGTCTCAGGTGGGAATGGGCAGGCTCAACTCCTGCCCCTCTCTACTTAGTACCTTCCCATCCTTGCCCAGCTTTCTCTGTTTTTCGACATCCTGCTGGTCATGGCTCGGAATGTGAGCAAGGAGGACTACCTGATGGGGCGGCCTCCAGAGATGGGACAAGGCGACGTGGGCCTAGCAGGCTACCTGCAGGGTGCCCGGGCCCAGCTGTGGAGGGAGCTCCGCGATCAGCCCCTCACCATGGGTTGGTGCTGCTTGTCAGCTCTCTGGGGTGGGGAGACCAGGAACCCCCACTTGGTCCCTGGGTTCTTGAAGGCAGCCCACGCGTGGATTGGACACTTATCCACTCCCAGCTAGAGCCTCCCAATGTGATCACTTTCTTCCCTTCTCCCTTCTGTCTCAATCCGGGCTCCAGTCACATTCCTTCCACTTTCTAGCTGTGTGATTTTTGGGCAATTTGTCAGCCTTATCACCATGCCTGCCCTTCAAGAGCATGCTGGGAAATTATGTGATTTGGGACAATTTACAGCCTTATCACCATGCCTGCCCTTCAAGAGCATGCTGGGAAATTATGTGATTTGGGACAATTTACAGCCTTATCACCATGCCTGCCCTTCAAGAGCATGCTGGGAAATTATGTGATTTGGGACAATTTACAGCCTTATCACCATGCCTGCCCTTCAAGAGCATGCTGGGCATGTGTCTGCTGGCAAGAAGGCCTTGCTTTGCTTGGGCCAGGGTCAGTGTGTGTCTTTACAGCTTACATCCCTGATGGCAGCTACAGCTACCTGACTTCCGTAGCCAGTGAGCTCCTGCACAGGCTCACGCTCCCCGGAGGCCCCAGGACACAGACTGTGCACTCCCAGGTGGAGGTGAGAACTCACCCTCAGTGGTGCCTGCTGGGTAAATGGGCCAGGCGGGATGGGGACTGTGAGGTAGAGGGAAAGTGGACCACTCTCCTGAGAACAGATTACTCACTGCCATCGTGTCGACTCCAGCTCATTCCTCCAGGACACACTAGAACTGCCCCATAGGATTTCTGAGGCAGGAAATCTCATAGATGTAGACTGCCTCATCTTTTTCATACTAGCTCCTGGGTTTGAACCACTAGCATAGTACTTAACCCATGTGCCACCACTGTTATTATTCCCATTTTGCAGATGAGGTATTGGAGAATCAGAGGACTAAGGCTACAGACACAATAAGGGGCCAAGTCAGAATTCTAAAATGCAAGTCAACCTGATAGAGAAGTGAAAGCAGACCCCCTCCTGCCCTTTCTGCAGTGTCTTAGGGAGATGGAGCCTGTCCCCTGGGGGAGCAGCTGAGAACAGGCCTGAGACTGGTGCTGGGGGCAAATGGCTGGAGGCCTTGAATGCCAGATGCCTGGGTGTGGAGCAGGCTTGAGGGGAGACCCCTTCCCTGCCCTTGGCCCTCCTGACCTTCTGCCCTTGGCTTCACAGAACTTGGAGCTCCTGGGGGCTGGGAGCGTCGTGGTCAGCTGTCTGCTGGAGGGCCCTGTCCAGCTGGGTCCTGGGAGTGTCCTGCAGCACTGCCACCTGCGGGTGAGGCCTCAGAACACATGCAGGAGGGTGGGCAGGGGCTGGTCCTGAGCCTGAGGGGTGCCTGAGGTTGTGTCATCACCCAACATGCCTGCCCTCTCCCCATAGGGCCCCATTCACATTGGGGCTGGCTGCTTCCTGAGTGGTCTGGACACAGCCCAGTCCGAGGCACTGCACGGTGTGGAGCTTCATGACCTCATCCTGCGGGGACACCTCGTGCGGCTGCACAATGCCCCGGGACGGGTCTTCACCCTTGCTGGCTGTCGGGACAGCTGGGAGGTAGATGCTCTCTAAATTGTCCCACCTCCATCTTCAGGCTTTGGGGAGCCTTGAGGTTCCAGCTCTTACTACACTGGGGATGTCAGGGGCTGTGAGTACGCTGTGACCAGTAGAGTCTTGACAGGACAGTCCCCACCTCCCATCATGCTGCTGGACTGGGGGGAGGGGTTCGGGAGGATTTTGATTCCCATTTTATAGGCTGGGAACTGATGCTGAGAGGAAAGGTGACCTGCTTTGGCACACACAGCCAGTTTTGGAATCCAGGGCTCCATTCTCAATATCCGGGTACCTGGGCAGGAGGGTTGGGAACTCAGGGCTTGCACTATGCACACCCCTGTCTTTCTTTTCTGTCCCCTTGAGCAGCTTCCTGTGGTCCCTCAACCCTGATGACTTCTTCCTCTTCCCCCAGCGGCAGGGTACAAGCACATATCTCAACATGCCTTGGTGTGACTTCTTCCAGAAGACAGGCATCCGGTAAGGGTGATGGTGTCCCTGGACCTCATGCGCTCTTTACCCTCCCACCAGGCAGACTGATTCTCCTCTGGCTATGCTCAGGCTTGGGGATTGTTCAGTGGTGTGGGGGAGGAGACAGAACCCAAATTGTTCCCATTTCTGTGACCTTTTTAATTTTAGCAACTTATTTGTGTTGCTGTTGAGAATACACACAGTAGAACCTATAACAGTTCACCAGTTTCTATGTGTACAGTTCATTGGCAGTAATTGACTTCAGGTTGCACAACCTCATACCGCCTTTTGGTGGCAGTAATGGGAGAAGTCTGTCCTGTGCTCAGCCCCAGCCTGAGGTGCCTTCTGACAGTTGGGTCAGGGCATGGTGACAGCGTAAGAGCCCTTGCTTCCCTCCCCTAGTGTGTCCTCTCTTCCACCAGAGACTGGGACCTGTGGGACCCGGACACGCCCCCTGCTCAGCGTTGCCTTTTCAGCGCCCGCCTCTTCCCTGTGCTACACCCCTCAAGGGCCCTGGGGCCCCAAGACCTGCTGTGGATGCTAGCGCCTCAGGAGGATGGGGGTGAGGCCCTGCGGACCTGGAGGGCCACCTGGCGCCTGTCTTGGGAGCAGCTGCAGCCATGCCTGGACCAGGCTGCCACGCTGGCTGCCCGCCGGGACCTGTTTTTCCGCCAGGCCCTGCATAAGGCACGACATGTGCTGGAGACTCGGCAGGACCTCAGCCTGCGCCCACTGATTCGGGCCGCTGTCCAGGAGGGCTGTCCCGCACTCGTGCTAGCCACGCTGGACCAGGGTGAGTGTGCAGGGAGCCAGACTCAGGGCCTTGGACGGCTTACCCTCCACCTCTGGACAATCAACTGAGGGTGTTAGGGAACGTCCGGAGATTTTAATGTCTGGGATAAAGGCAACTGAAGTTTACTTTTAACCGGGTCAGAGACTGCCTGTTTGCTGCAAGCACCAGCAAACTGTTCACTCTACACTGTGGTCAAGATGTGGGTGAAGAGTCCTGTAAAGTCCTAGCAGGCAGTCTGCATGGATGCACAGAGCCTGAGCCGTATGTGTTAATGGTTAATGGTCACAGCACTTGTAAAAGGATCCCCATTTAAGGAATCCACTAACAACCACACAAGTGTTCGACCCTGAACTTCTTACCCACCAAGGATATCCTGGTGTGGGTGGGCTTCAGGAGGAGAGCTTTGCCACAGAGGGATGGGGGTGCACTCACTGGCAAGGAGATGTCTTGGGCAGCAGCACAGTGGTAGAGGGGCCTCAGGTATTTGGGGACTGACAATTCAATACTGCCTTCTTTGAGGGCAGAGGGCATTGGGGTGGGTTCCCTTTCCTGCTACCCTGATTCCTGGTCCCACAGTTGCTGCTGGGGCAGGAGACCCTGGGGTGGCAGCGCGGGCACTGGCCTGTGTGGCAGACATGCTGGGCTGCATGGCAGCAGGGCAAGGCGGCCTGCGGAGCGGACCAGCTGCCAACCCCGAGTGGATACGGCCCTTCTCATACCTGGAGTGCGGTGACCTGGCGGGGGGCGTGGAGGCACTGGCCCAGGAGCGGGACAAGTGGCTGAGCAGGTGGGTAGTAATGGAAGTTAGACAGACGGAGCTGGACAGGCCATCCTTGGAGATTGAAATCCAAAGAGAAGTGGGGACTCCGGTGGTCGCCTGTGGCCGTAGGGTTGCCAAGTCCAGGCTGCCATCTTCCTACTTGTCTTGGTAGGCCAGCCTTGTTGGTGCGGGCTGCCCGCCACTATGAGGGTGCTGAGCAGATTCTGATCCGCAAGGCTGTGATGTCGGCCCAGCACTTTGTCTCCATGGAGCCTGTGGTGCTGCCGGCCCTTGGGCAGTGGGTGGTAGCTGAGTGTCCAGCCCGCGTAGACTTCTCTGGTGAGCTTTTTCTGGGAGTGGGGGTTGAAGGTGGCTACCCCAGAGCCAGGTCAACAGCCTGTGACCACCAGGGTCTCACTACACCGCTGCAGGTGGCTGGAGTGACACGCCACCCCTCGCCTACGAGCTTGGTGGGGCGGTCCTGGGCTTGGCAGTGCGAGTGGATGGTCGCCTGCCCATTGGGGCCAGAGCACGCCGCATCCCTGAGCCGGAGCTGAGGCTCGTGGTCGGGTCTCAGCAGGATGAGACCACCATGAAGATTGTGTGCCGGAGCCTGGATGAGCTTCGGGATTACTGCCAACCTCACGCCCCAGGTCAGGGCAGCCCTAGTGTAGTGGAGACCATAACCAGCCAGCTGGGGTGGGGATGGGACCTGGCTGGGGCTCTGAAGGAAGGAGCAGGAATCATCCTGCCTAGCCAGGTTCATGCACATACAGAAGGTACAGCTATGTTGGGAAGCCCCCTGTGACCGGGAGCAGAGAAGCCCTTTTGTGTCCTGGGATGATAAAGTTAGCATGTTGTTGGGGTTTGTCCTGTTAGGTAAGTTCTGCACTGAGCTGGGAAACATAGGGGCTGGGGGGTCTGCTCTGCCCTCCGAGACCAAACTCTTGGCTGGGGGCCTGTCCCTCTGCAGGGGCCCTACTGAAAGCAGCCTTCATCTGTGCGGGGATTGTAAGCATCTGCTCCGAGCTTCCGCTGAGCGAGCAGCTGCTGCACAGCTTTGGGGGCGGCTTCGAGCTGCACACCTGGTCTGAGCTGCCCCATGGCTCTGGCCTAGGTGAGTGGACCCTGCCCCCTGGTTGGCCTGCTGTTCTCACCCTCCTCTCCGGGGAATGCTCAGTAGAGGGAATGGGCCAGCACGGGGCAGTGCCCTTTCATGCCTGGGGCCCTCCTTCACTCCCTACAGGCACCAGCAGCATCCTGGCAGGCGCCACCCTGGCTGCCTTGCAGAGGGCTGCCGGCCGGCTGGTGGGCACAGAAGCCCTGATTCACGCAGTACTGCACCTGGAGCAGGTGCTAACCACAGGTATGACCTGGGTGGGTTGGTGGGGTAACTCTGCTGCCCTTAAAATGCTCACAGTTCCTCCGCATCCACATACAGACCCCACCCTCTGTGCTTTTACCGAGAAAGGGTTCTGTTTTAAGTAGCATCTGCCTCAGAGACCCTGTGAAGCAGTGCTACTGGTCCGTAGGGTTGCTCTGAATCAGAATCACCTCCACAGCAGTGGGCTTTTGTGAGTGCCAAACCCTCTCCCTTGCTGGGCTCATCCTACTCCCAGGGCTGGGGCAGACGCTGCATAGTCCAGCAGTCCCGGCTGGAGTTAGGGCATGGTGTCTTCCCATACTGATCCCAATCAGGGGTGCAGGCCTGGGCTGGGAAAGTCAAGGTGGGCCAGGTAGACTCCAGCAGTAACACGGCCCTGACATCACAGGAGGTGGCTGGCAGGACCAAGTGGGTGGCCTAATGCCTGGCATCAAGGTGGGGCGCTCCCGGGCTCAGCTGCCCCTGAAGGTGGAAGTGGAGGAACTCACTGTGCCCGAGGGCTTTATCCAGAAGCTCAATGACCACCTGCTCCTAGTCTACACAGGCAAGACCCGCCTGGCACGAAACCTGCTGCAGGTAAGCTCTAGCCCAGAAGGGAGGATAAGCAGGCAGCTCAGGTGGGCCCCAGTCCTCACCCCATGTCTCCTGCCCTGTCTGCAGGATGTGCTGCGGAGCTGGTATGCCCGGCTGCCTGCTGTGGTACAGAATGCCCACAGCCTGGTACGGCAGACTGAAGAGTGTGCCAAAGCTTTCTGCCAAGGTGGGTGCTGCTCCCAGGGGTCATCAGGGCAGCAGGAGGGTCTGGTCTCTGAGGCCAGGGGCTTTAGCTGGCTTGGCACAGACCTGTCATTAGGCCACTGGACAGGAACTCTTGACCAGGCTTTCTGGGGCAGAAGCCCTTTCTCCTGACCTCTTGAGGGGTGTCCAAATTGGGTAGGAGCTCCCAGAAGAAAACTAGCATCATGGGAAAGGCCCTCCAGCCCCCTTTCTTCCCACTGGAAAGCAGATGAGGGAAGAGACCCCACAGCTGAGCTCCAGGGCAGTCTGATCTAAGCAGAGTTTCTGGTATGTGCGGCACAGTTGACTGAATACTACGTACAGGGCAGTATTGAGACCCATGACCCACCCATGAGACAGACTTCCTGATTCCTGTCTTTCAGTCAGCATTGGGACCCAGGTTCTTAACCATGATACATACTGGGGTTAAACAGTGCCTCACGCCCTTCATTCAATCAACAAATAGGCATTGAGTAATGTATGACCCAGGCACATCACTTCCCTTTACCCCCACCCAGGAAACCTGCCTTGTCTGGGCCAGTACCTGACCTCATACTGGGCACAGAAGAAACTCATGGCTCCAGGGTGTGAGCCCCTGGCAGTGCGGCGCATGATGGATGTTTTGGCACCTCACGTATATGGCCAGAGTCTGGCAGGGGCAGGTGGCGGGGGCTTCCTCTACCTGTTGACCAAGGAGCCACGACAGAAGGAGGCTCTGGAGGCTGTGCTGGCCAAGGCTGAGGTACCTGTGGAGTAGGGGGATAGTAGATGGTGGGGGTCCACAGACTTCTCTATGGCCCACCAGCTAACTCAGAACTACTCCTGCAAGCCTCCCTGGCCTGGTAGCCTCCAAAGCCTTCAGAGGACCCCAGATTTGCCCAGAGCCTTCTAAACGCTTTCTGTGCTTTGTTCCAGGGCCTCGGGAACTACAGCGTCCACCTGGTAGAAGTGGACACTCAGGGCCTGAGCCTGAAGCTTCTGGGGGGGGCGGCCTCAACATGATCATTCCCATGAGGCTTGTGTGCAAGCGGTGAAGACTTATTGCTCTATCAACCCCTCCCTTCCCCATGATAACTCACATCTCCTCCCCACCCAACCCTTTGCAAATCTGCTTCCAAAGGAAGCCCACCTGAGGTAAGCCCCAACCTTTCTGGAGCTTGGTGCTTAGGACTGTGAACAGGCCAGCAGTGGACTAGACTTGGTGTCTGTACCACAGGAAAGTCCCAAGTTCATTATCCCACATGGCCTTTGTAAATCCCATGACCTCGCTTGGGTCATGGACTTCTCATTCTTCACTGGGGCCCTTAGCAGGTGGTTGGGGCCCCATGGAAAGACTGGCCCTTGGAGGCAGTCTTGTGGCCTTTCATATAATTCAAACTTCTATTTCATTTTCAATACTTTCCCAGCCTGACCGGCTGCAGTCCATAAAGTTTCAGTACAACCACACAATCTTTGACTTTGGTTAGGGGTTTGGCAGGATTGCTACTTTGAGGCCACAGCTTCTTCCAAAGCCTATAGGAAGTGACAAGCAACTGCAATGGGGCATCCAGGACTTGGCATGACTTTGCTCTGAGGCCTCAGTGGTTCATCCTCAGCTGCTGCCTCCTCTCTGGGCTTTAACCCTTTCTCTATTCCCATGAGCCCCTGCCATTGCTTTCTCTCACCCCTTGCTGGAGCCAGGAGACACTTCTGACTGGGGGTGAGTGGGAGTAGCCACTCACCTAGTGCCTGTGGGTAGTGGGTTCTCAGGACTCTGACATCCTTGGAATAAATGCCCCCCTGCCCTTCAAGCTTGTTTATTCTGATCCTGCTGGGAGCATTTCCCACTTCTCCCTGGCCTGTAGGGCATTGGCCCCAGAATGTTACTGAAGATTCAAGACGGAGTGAGGGTCTCGGGTGGAGTGAGGGCTTCTGATCTCATGTGGGTCCCTGAGGTAGCCATGCGTTTCTGGGTACAGGAGGTGGCAGAGGTTATGGGTTTTGCCTTCACATTTCTGTGCAAGTAGGGATTGTCCTGCCCTGTTAGCACCCAGCCCTCCCTGGAAACAACATACTGGCACCTCTTAGAGGTGTGTCTTTATTCAGGGTGATCATAAACAGTACAAGTCAAATCTAATTTCCTAGGTCCCTAGACCTACCCAAGTCCTGTAAAGGTCGACAGGACAGCCAGTATGCTGGGGTGTCTGAGGTGAGGGAATCCTTCCTGTTCAGAAAGCTGGCCTCTTCCTCATGCTGGCTGCCCTGGTTTCCCCACCCAAATAGCCTAGGGTACCTTACTCTCTTAAATGAACACTTGGTAAGTGCAGTTGAGTCTGGTTTCCAAGGAGCGGCTGGTGAGTTTGAACCACCACCCTTAGGGTTCAAACTAACTGTGCAGTCCAGTGCTTATCCTACAGCGCCACACCATGACTGCAATGTCAGTTTGAACTTAAAGGTCGGCAGTTCAAATCCACCAGCTGTTCCTCAGAAACCCTATACAGGGTTGTTGTGAGTCGGAACTGACTCCATGGCACTTAACAACAACAACAATCTTTGGCCCACACCCTCAGCTCTAGCCAGGCAAGCTACCTCAAGAGTGCATGGCCAAGCCTTGGGCTCTGGACTCCCCTTACCCAAATCACATTCTCCTTCCCCTTCCCCACACCCATCAGTCAGAATGTATCTCCTAACTCACCTCTAACAATAACAAGCCAAACAGAACATGGTCCAGGCTACACCTGAGGCCCAGATGACTTCATCTCCCCTCCATCCCTCCCTGAAACAGCATCCAACAGAGTACAGACGAGTGGAAAGGTTCTGGGCCTCCTCTATTGTGGCTGGTCCCCAGGCCACACAGCCTTGCTCAGTCCTTGGCTGTGGCCACTGAGAGCATGGGCCCTGAAGCGTCCGGCCCAGGTAGGCTCACCCTGGCCACTACAGGCGCAGCCTCTTGATGTCCTCGCTGCGAAAGTCCATGCGGAGAGCCAATACCTGGCGGACTTCAGCAGGGGTGAGGCACCATGTTAAGGGGCCGGAGTTGGCACCCCAGTAGTCTAGGATTTCAGTCACCTGTGGGAAAGACATGGAGAAAGGTTTGCCAAAAAGGAGAGTGGGGTGCTTGGGAAGAAGATACCCAGCTGCCAGCAGAGACAAGGACCCAAATGATGCTTCCACCTCCTTTCCCTGGCCATGGAGCCTGCTCCACATACCCGCTCCAGGTTGAGGATTGTGGCCATCTGGGAGAGCCGGGCAAACTTGTCTCGGATGGTCCAGGTGGTCACTGTGGTAAGGTAGGCAATGAGTGACCTTAGCTCCTTGTCAAACTGCAGCCCGCCCAGCTGTAGGAGAACACAGTGTTACTCTTACAAGGCCTGGCCATCCTAGCTCTCTAGTGGAACCAGTAGTGGTACCACAGGCTGCTAAGTGAAAGCTGCTCTGTGAGAGAAATATATGGCAGGCTGCATCATCAGGACTGACCGCCTTGGAAACCCGATGGGTTCGTTCTGCTCAGTCCTAAAAGGTCACTATGAGTTGGAATTGTCTCGATGGCTGTGGGTTTGGGTACAAGTGGGCAGCTTTAACAAAGGTACTTTCCCATAGTTGAGGAGGTTAGAAGTCCAAATTCAGGTAAGGCTTTCTCTGGAAGGAGGTGGTAGGTAGTCTCTTTGAGCATCTGCTGCTGGCTGATCTTCCTGTGGCTTGTTTTTAAGTGTCATTGAGTCAGTTCTGTCTCCTAGTGACACTGTATAGAGTTTCCAAGGAGAGGCTGGTAGGTTTGAATCGCCAACATTATGGGTTAACAGTCCAGTACTTACCCTTCAGCGCCACACATGGGGCTTAGAATCTGTCCTCATCTCTGCTTGCTTACTTACTTGTCTTAGTTTGCTTTCTTATGTCTTTTTCCTAGACTCACTCAAGACACCCCATTCCCAACTGGGATTATAGACACAGGCATCAAGGTTAGGATTTTTTGGGGGGGGACTCACAATTCAATCCCTAACACTGCTCCTGTGAACAAGCACTATTGCTCCCAATTCTCCTCAGAGCTGGGCTGCACAACCAGCTGGGCCTCAGTACCCTGTGGTGCCAATGCCTCAGAACTCAGGGCAGGACTGAACCAGATGTGTAGCCCTGGGGGTAGCAGAGCTGGGTGACAGGATGTGTCTTCCACAGAGAACAGAACCTTACCCGATTGAAGGTGGATTTCAGCACTACTTTCTCCAACTCCACTGCAACAAGGCTGGTCATGAGACTGGTCAGGCTGTCGTAGATGACCGGGGACAAGCTGGCCTGCATACAGAGGCAAGACCTTAACAGGAGTCTTCTCCTGGCCTGTGCCTGGGGGTGGGAGCAGTTACGCTAGGCCTTAGAAAAGCTCTCAAGGTTCCCAGAGGGACTGAGTTGAGAACAGCAGCTGCTGGCTGGTCTGGGCAGAAGGGAAGATTCCATAAGCTGGTCCCTAGAATCTTGCTCACCTTGAACTCTGCCATTTGCTGTTCCAGGTTGAGGATGAACTGTTGGACCCAAGGGTCATTGGCCTCATAGTCATTGAATTCTTCCTGTCATCAGAAAGCAAGATGGGTCACTGTGGGCCTCTCTTCAGAAGTACCCCGCCCCCCCATACACACAGGAAAAACAATGCAAGAGATCGTTCCCCTGTAGCTTCTGACACATACAGCTTAAAACCCACTTAGACACCCAGGCCAGCAGAAGCTGCTGTTGCTTCTGCATTACCAGTCAGCCAGCACGGCCCCTGGCCACAAAAGGGCCCAAATACTAAAGCGGAATTCTGTTCCTGCTGGCATCTCGCCTTCCACAGGAATGAAATCACTAGGCTAGGAGGAAAAACTTCGAAGTCTACAAGGGACCTTCAGAGAGTTTGTGGAAAAATTCAATTATCTTCTAATTCCATTTTTCCATGAACTTTTTAAAGTGCCCCCTTGTATATTGTTAAATGCTATTAAGTCAGTTCTGCCTCATTGCGACCCTGTATAGAGTTGCTGAGGAACCAACAACTGGTGGGTTTGAATCGCCAACCTTGTGGTCAAAAGTCAAGTGCTTATCCTACAGTGCCATACCAGGACTCCTTCTGTATGATAGGCAGGGCCAAAATAGCCTCAATTAAAGGAAATAAGTCTAGTCAGGGCAAACTCCCTTTAGATGCATCTCCTTGAGCCCTTCACCGGGGAGGAAACTGGCTTTCCAACAGTGAGGGATGTGGACCTGGGAGCAAAGGGAAATTTAGTCTGTTCACATAGCTCCACTGCCCTCAGCTGGGGGTTGGGGAGTGAGGGATGATTTGGGCCGACTGGCTGCCATGGGCCAGGCTGACCTCCTCAATGTTGTGCGAGACGGAGAGAAAAGTGTTGATCCAGGGCTGCACCTGTGGCTTGACCGCTGTGCTGTTGAGCTCTGTCAGCCCTTCCTGCACAAGGACAAGGCAGAGACATGTCAGACACACAAGGTGGGGCATGACCTACCCCTTCCTCCTTCCCCATTCATTCCTAACTACCAGGGCATCCTTCTGGCACTGAGCCTTTTCTGTAGACCCTGCCTGGAGCAGGATGGAAATCACACAAATAAAGATGCCAAGAACAACCTGTCCTGTCTCAGCTGTGTGATGGCTCGGGTCCCTGCCAGAGTTGAAGCCCTGAAGTTTTTCTGGTAAACTCGCGAGAGATTTCTGAGGGCCTATAGTAAGCCAAGCAGCAGGTCTGAGTAATCACATGGTTCCATCTCCTCTGAGCATTTACCTATGGTCCTTGGCTTGTCACTGGCTTGTCAACCTGACAGAGGAAGAGAGCTGCACTTGGGAAAAACTGGCCAGCAGGGCTTTAGTCCCAGGTAACTCGTTCTTCAGTAGCTTGTATGCTATTAATCTTCATCCTGTTTTCTTAGACACCATGGAGCCAGTACCCTTTTTTTTCAGAGGAACACGTGGGCACAGGTGTCAGTGGTTGAGCCTAGGGCTTACCTGCAAGAGGTCTCGGAATTGGGTGGACACAGCAGCCAAGTCAGAAAGG